TTCCAGATTTTCAAATTTGTTGGCTTACAGTTCTTCATAGTATCCTGATCTTATCCTTTTTAATTCTGTTGATTTTGTTGCATTGTTTCCCATTCCATTTCTTATTCTTGTTACTCATATTCTCTCCCTCATTTCCTTTGTTAAATTTTCCAGTAGTTTGTCAATTTTATTGATCTTTTCAAAAAACCAACTTCCAGTCTTGTTGATTTTATTCTATTGTATTTCTATTTTCTGTTTCATTGATTTCTACTCAAATCTTTATTATTTCCTTTCTTTTGGTGACTGTAGGCTTTTCTTGCTGTTCTTTTCCTAATTGCTGGAGATGTTGATTTAAAGTGTTGATGTTGGCTCTTTCTTCTTTTTGGATCTGTGCTTTCATTGTTTGCTATAAATTGGCCTCTGATCACTGCTTTTGCTGTGTCCCAAAGATTTTGGCATGTTGTGTTTTCATTCTGATTTGATTCAAGGAATGTTTGAATTTTGTTTTTTATTTCTTCTCTTACCCAGTCTTTCTCAAGGAGTGTGTTGTTCAGTTTCTGTGTGTTTGCTCTTTTTCCATTGATCTTCCTATTGCTGATTTCTAATTTGATAGCATTGCGATCTGAGAAGGTGCTTTGCAGTACTTCAATGTTTTTAAATTTATGAAGGCTTGCTTTATGGCCTAATATATGGTCTATCATGGAAAATGTTCCATGTGCACTGGAAAAGAATGTACATTGTGCTGTTGTTGGGTGAAGCCCTCTGTATATGTCTATAAGGTCAAGTAGTAGACTGCATTGTTTAACTCTTCTGAGTCTTTGTGGAGTTTCTTCCCAATTGTTGTATCTTTCATCAAAAATGGTGTATTAAAGTCTCCCACTATGACTGTGGAGTCATCTATTTGACTTTTCAATTCTTTTTAAGTCTGATTTATGTATTTTGGGGCTCTTTCATTGGGTCCGTAGATATTTAGTTTGGTTATATCTTCTTGTTCAATTGATCCTTTAATCATTATATAATGTCCTTTCTTGCCTCATATGGTGGTTTTGTGTTAAAGTCAGTTTGATCAGAAATTAATATTGGCACTACTGCTCATTTTTAGTTGCCATTTGTTTGATATATCTGTTTCCAACCTTTGATGTTAGTCTGTTTTTGTCTTTGTCTCTAAGGTTTTTCTCTTATAAACAGCATATTGGTGGGTTTTGTTTTCTTCTCCAATCTGCAGCTCTCTGCCTCTTGAGTGGTGCATTTAATTCATTAACGTTCAGTGTAATTATCAACAAGTATGAATTGGTTGCTGTCATTTTGTTATGTGTTAAAAAACATGAAAACATAGTGTCCCTGGTTTCTTTGTTCCATATAATTTTCTGTGCTGAGCTCATTATGTTTAGGAATTGTGTTATCATTTCTTTTGTTGTTGTTGTTTTAGTATTTGCTAAATATTTGTACTTGTCCTCTTTTTTATTGTGATGTGAAGGTTTGTAATTTTTCTTAGCATTTACCCAGTGATTTATCATTTTCTCCCCAAGGTATAATGTCAAAATAAGCTTTTATATCATAATTATTAAATGTGTTTTTAGATGAAAAAAATCATTATACTCAAAAAAAAGATTATTTGAAAATGGTATATCTTTAAGAGTATATAAAGCATTGATAGAACATTGATTATGTGAGAGAAATCTGTATCTCAACAGAATATTGTAAAGAGATTGATTGATACTGAGAGAGAGATTGAGGTACTGAAATTTGTGTTTTTTTTTTTTTATACAATAGCAAATCACATCTCTTTTTACACACAGATACCTCTTCTGGTTCAGAAGATGAAGGCTCAGTACAGGGTGATTCCCAGGGAACCCCCACCTCCAGTCAAGGCAGCATCAATATGGAGCACTGGATCAGCCAAGCCATCCATGGCTCTACCACATCCACGACATCCTCCTCCTCCACACAAAGTGGCGGGAGTGGTGCAGCTCACAGGCTGGCTGATGTCATGGCTCAGACACACATAGGTAAGTGTACCAGCTTTGGACATTTTTCTACTTATTTCCTTATATGTACTTTTTCTATAGTTGTTATCTAAGTGACCAATGAGTAGCCATGTATTTTTTTGGTTGCGTTCTTGTCTATATCCTATCTATAGAATCCATTTTCTACCACACTCTCAGACTCCAGGACTTCTTGCGATTAACTGTTTTCTGGAGACTGTGGTTTTACTATTTTTCATCAGCCCAAGTCTCTTCTACAGGTAGATTTTCAGGAGCTTTCTATTCATAGAGGAATACATTCCTTTTCATCAGGGAAAATTGCAGCCATTTCTGTTGACATATTTTCTATTTTCACTTATGCTTAAATGTGCCCCTAAATGAAAATTCAATAGTGCTGGTAAATAAAACTGGAGATTTTAAAATAGCATTGACATTATTTTGGGAAGTTAGAGCGCTGTAACCAGTACTGATTTACATGGTTTTCCACCATTGGTATTTAGATGCTTGTTTGTTTGATAGTTTATGTTGTTTGTATGCAGGTTCTTTAATCAGTGAGTGCCTCTGTATTGGAAAAAAGTACAGTGTTAGGAAGCATTTTCCTAGTTGCTTGGAAGCAGCATATAAAAAAGGAGGATTCAGTAAGAATTATTAAAGGAAGAATGTCAGAGTTTATTTAATAAGAAGTATGCTTATATGAAACTTCAGTGATTAAGTTGTATGTTTTTCTACCTCCGCTTTGACCTCCTATTCTCCTTTTTCTCATTAATGCCAGGACATGAATCTGTGCTGTATGGAAGGGAGAAGTACAATGTCCAGTTCTGTTTTGACCCATGTTCAGCCCAGGGGTTAGATTTTCAAACATTTCCATGACAAAACTTTTATGTAAAACCAATCCTATGGTAAATAATTTGTTTGACCATGGTGCCAAGCTATTATCGATCGGTTCACCATACTCTCTTCTTTAAAATATCAATGTGGAGAAAGAATGGTTAACTAATCCCAAAGGAGGCATGTTGTATACTAGATACTGTACTTGTGTAAATTCTCATAGCTACTGAAATACTCTGTGAAAGCTCAGATCTGATGAAATTGAAATTAAGAAAACATGTCCACATAACAAAAGAATTAAATATTCTAAAAATATCTGGGACTCCCCTATTTTTTATTTGTAGATCATTAACTACTTGACAAGAGAGTCAGAGTAGTTTCAAAGTGATGTTTTAGGAATTTGTTTCAATAGTGCTCGGTCAGACTGAAGTTAAAGTTGAAAGCTTCACTTCTCTGCCTTTTAATGTCAGAGACGTGGTGTCTTGCCTACTGGTGATGTGCTCGAGCAGCACGTCAGGAGATTGGGATCTGGTCTGCTCTTCCATTAACTAGTGCTGGGATGTTCAGGAATCACTTACCTTATCCTTGCTCTAGTTTTAAAGTTTGAAAAAAAGGGGGGCAATGATGCTTTCTTTAATTTGTACCTGTCATTACTGTCCTGAGTGAAAAGGAGAAAACAGAATTATTTCTCAGTTTTTTAAAGTGATAACTCAAATGCAAAGTGGTATTGTTACCAAGTTTCAATTTAATTTATTTTAAGGAACATGTATACTGGTTAATGTAACTGACAGCCTCTATTTGAAATCACAATAAGCTAATAATTAAACAGAAATATGTGACCATTAAATATTTGTAGATAATACAATTTTTTTTCTTGTGTGCATTGGAACTCTACAGAGTGGGCTAGGTTTTGTAGGCATGCTGCTTCTAGCACCTGAACTGATAGATCACGTAAGTAATGTCCAAGACCTCTGCTGCTCACCCTCAACCTTGAAAACATTTGTGTAGTGCTTTAAGTTCACTATTAAGGAAGTGCTCAGAAACTTATCAAGGGGAGCACATATTGATGAGCAATCTATTTACTGCATTTGGTTCTCCCTTTGTGCATTTACACTAGGAATACTAGAGGAAATTATGGCATGGAGAAATAAATTTATCCAAACGGTAAAAGGTGGTATTACTCTTGCGTATTATGCTCTGTTAAGAATTCTGTATATGGGATCAAATTGACAATAGCAACTCCAAAGATTAGATGGAAACTTTAGAGGACCGTGAGTTTATGTTAATATGGAGAGAACAAGTCAGAAAAGGAGACTGAGAATGGTTGCACAACTTGGAGAATCTACTCGATGTCACAGAGTTGTCAATGTAGAAACTGTTTAATTGGTTCAGGCCTTGCTGTGTATATTCCTAACAGCAATAATAAAATAAATACAATTTAGAAAAGAAAAAAAAAAGATGGCATTACTCATGTGTGTCAAGTCTCAGTGTATAGCTTAAATATAGCTTTTGAGTTTATAACATTTGAGTACTTTTTAATTGGCACAAATATAAGTTCCTGGAATATCTGTGAATTTTCTCTGAATATGAAGAAATTTTTGGAATGAAAGCAGTAGCAAAATAATAAAACTTGATGAGAAAAGGAGAATTAAAATAATTTATCCCTGTGAGAAAGCAAAAGAAGAATACAAAGTATTGACAGCATTTGAACTTCTCTTGAGATCTTAAAAAACCTACTAATATGAAAATGATGTCTTTGTGTGTGTGTGTATGTGTGTGCATGTGTGTGTGTGAGTGTAAAGGAATTTAGCACAAAATACTACTCTGAATTTGCAAATCCTTCATGATGCCACATTTAGGCAGTGTAGAAAATACACTTTTCTTGCAAACAGCCATCTAGATGCATTGATGGGTCTCTCTTCATCCTGAGCAATGAAGAATGAAGAAAACCAAATTATCATGGAAACTATTAGTCCTAGCGACTGGGTACATCATGTGATCCTCAGCTTATACAACTATGAGACCAGAAGAACTTCATAATGCCCGGCTACCACTGTCAACCACTCGGGGAGGGGGATCTATGTAGGAGATCCTGGATAGAGAGGGAGAACAATGTGGAACAAAGCTCAAAATTTGGAGAAAAAAGGCAGGGGGAACCAGGTTAGCTCGTCTGATGGAGCCTGGTGGAACCACCGAGACTATGGCCCCTAGCTGCCCTTCAGGTCTGGAATTGAACCCACACCTATGGTTTCCAGCCAAATAAAATACAGGCATATGAGTTGAACATTTACCTGAGGTAGGTACACTCCTTGGAGAGAACAATCATGGGAGAAAGAAGGGCTGTTTATGCACAGGGAGACAGCTCAGGGGGCAGGAGTGCATGGAGGGATGGACACAGAGAAGAGGTAACTGTTGGGAAGAAGTGGGAGGGGAGCTGTTGCATTGTGTTAAATTGTGGTCAATGTCATGAGACAAAGTGTATGTGAACTGCTTTGTGAAAGTGAATTTGCTCTTCTGGGTAAATTTTCACCCAAAACACAATAAAAAAAACAAACAACAACAACAAAAAATAACATACACTTTTCTTGCTACTTTTGTTTCTTGAAACAAATCTCAAGTCCTCTATGGACTTTTCATTATGCCGACACTTAAATAACTATACCTCACACGTATCTAAATAGTCAAATCCATTTTGTGTAAGATGCAAAATCCCATTCCAGTTTTTTTGTCCTGCCTGCTGTTACGTTTACTTTCAAACCTAGCATGATGTGCTTGTTACTATCATACTTAAGAGCTGACAATAGAAGCTCCAAGATACTGTTCATCTTGAGGAGGCTAATTATGCCTTTGCTGTGTACCTTCATAATACCATTATGATAACTCCCTGTGTCACAGATAGAATAAAAATATTGATTGCATTGCAAGCCCTTTGTCCATATTGAGAGCCAGAATCTTTTTTTGATTATCAGAAAATTATCAGAAGCTGAGGAGGATAACTTAAAATAACCAGTAGATTTCATGAATACTTTGGACTTCAGGAAGTATCTTTCTAAAAAGCATTGAGAGTTTAAAAAGTAATTATTTACCTACATAGATATGGAGAAATTGAAACTATATTGATATTTTTTAGAATAAGAAATAAGAACAAAGCAAATAGTTAACATTATTTTTGTGCATTCAGAATAAACTTTTATATATTTAGGAAATTAAAGAACATTTCATGTTAGCTGTTCTCTTAATTTTCTACCTATAAGTATATTATTAAAGATTCTATAATCTTTAGTTAGTGTGCAGATCTGAAGACATTTTCCCAAAGAGATTTCATCAACATGTGTTGGGGTGCATTTTTGTAGCTTGTTATTCATATTAATAATTTCTGTTTCCAGAGTATTTTAGAATTCACTTGATATTAATGCCATTTTGCTTTCTCCTGTTTGTATCGGCAAACAAATTTTCATCCGATTTCTTGCATCTGCCCTTGCTAATAAGCAGATAGGAAGTGAAAAGGTGATCATATGCACTCCAGAGAATGAATGCATTGTACATACATGTAACATAATTTTTCTCAACCCTGGCAGTTGAACGTTTTGATTCTACATTCTGCTTTGTTAGATAATTTATTAGAAGTGCGTGAATAGCTACTAAACCAAACCAAACCCATGGCCAATGAGTCAATTCTGACTCATTGTGACCCTTTAAGAGAGAGTAGAACTGCTCCATAGTTTCCAAAGCTGTAAATCTTCACAGAAGCAGACTGCCTCATCTTTCTTCTGTGGAGCGACTGGTGGGATTGAACCATGACCCTTTGGTTAGTGGCTGAATGCTTTAACCACTATGCCACCAGAGCTCCTTAGAAATGGTTACTAACTCTTAAAAATTCACTGCCGTTGAGTCTGTTCTGACTCACAGCAACCCCTCCTTGGGTTTCCAATGTGGTATCTTTATGGAAATAGATTGCCCAGTCTTCTTTCCAAGGAGTTGGCTGGTGGGTTTGAACCGCCAGCCTTCTGGTTAGCAGTCAACTGCATTAGGCACTATGCCACCAGAGCTCCTATGAATAGCTACAGTTGTGATAAATTACCATAGTTTTTTAATGTATAATCATCCAAAGTATTGGGAAATTATTTTAAAATCTCTCTATTGATATTTTTCAAGCATTTACAAACAGTTTTTAAAATACCAAATAGGAATTAAAG